TCAAGAGAAACTTGGAGACTTCATGGGTGATTAGAGGAGCCTTCAGAAATGCACTTGTCATTTATAGGCCAGACTTCAACAATGGTACTTTGCAGCCACTTGAAGCAAAGGATTGTGGTCTTGAACAGTTGGAGCTTGGGAGCCACAGGATTCCAAGTGAATGGTTGGTTCCCAGAAAGAGCTGGTTGCAGAATGGCATTCCAATGGAGCCAGAGTTCGCTTTGAGCCAGGCAGCAACCAATGTTCAGAACCTTCTAGACTGGGCTGCTTACACAGACCCAGCCCTTGAAGGTGAGGAAGAGAATCCCCTAGACATTGATGATTCCATTGAAGAGTCTCTGGGGCTTGGTTTGAAGAATTCCTTGTTTTTGAGACTTCATCCAAAGGTGAGGAAAGCAGCTTTTTTAGCTCAGAAAGATGCAAAGTTTTCAGCAGTACTTGAGAAGTCCAAGGAAAAAGCTGCAAGACTCCAGCAAAGGGCAAGTTTGAGGCCTGGTTTGTTGAAGGCTCTTAGAGAGAAGCTTAAAGGAATGAGCAAGAAGGAAGCAATTGAACAGGTGGTTGCCAAGAGCAATGCAAGCAAGAAGAAGATTTCAGCAATCTTCAAGCCTGGTGCAAAGACAAAGCCATCCATTTTCAAGAAAGCAGCTCTGAAAAACCTCAAGAAAAGCAAGGCAAAGCAGGATGCAGACAAGAGCATTCCAGCAGCCTTGAAGGATTTGAAGAAGAAAGAGCTGGATGCAATTGTTGAACCTTCTGGGGAGACAGTTCGTTGTAGAATTGTTTCAGAGAGTGAAGGGAAAGGGAAGTATGGGAAAGAAGGGATGGTTGAAGTGAAGAGCTTGGAGAAAGATGGGAGTGAGTTTTGCCAGCTCATTGGAGACAAGCACGAAGTTGTGACTTGCAAGGTTTCAAGTCTTCTTGTCAAGCAAGACACATGGCTTCCAGTGAAGGAGTGGGTGTCTTTCAGCAAGCTTTCTAGAAAAAGTAAAGGTGAAGCCCTTTACATGATTGGCTTGAAGCCAGAGCCCTTTGCAAGCGCGGGTGATGATTTGATGGACCTTCCAAGTCATGATGAGAACTTTGATTCTCAGCATATGCTGCTTGGCTTTGAGCTTTTGAGGTGGCAGTTCCAGGACTACTTGAAGGAGGTGGCCTTCATAGACCCTTATTTGACCACAATGTATTTGAGAGATGAGGATGTTCCACAAAGAGAGTTGTTGAAGAAGACCCTTCAAGACTTTGGGGAATCAGATTCGCGGGTGCTTCTTTGTCCAATTTGGAGTGCAAAGACAATTTGTCATTGGACTCTGCTTACAGCTGAGAGGGTTGAAGGGAAGTGGTCTTTTAGGTACAGGGATACCTTGGCAGACCCAGTAGAAGATTCCTTGAAGAAGGCTTGCAGTATAGCCAGCCTTTTGCAGAAGGAAGAGGTTTCTTTGAAGATTTACAACTCTTTCCAGCAAGTTGGAAGCACATGTGAGCTTTGGACTCTTGCCTACATGATGGAAGAGGCTTGCAGCTTGTTTGAAGGCTTGGCTTCCAGAGGACACCCAAACATTAACCTTTTGAGGATGAAGCTTGTAGCTTGGTGGCACCAGCTTTCAGCAGAGAAGCAAAAACTTGAAGAAAGCAAGAAGGAACTTGAAGAGAAGGCAGAGAAATTGTCAGTCCAGCAAGAGAAAGCCAAGGAGAAAGCCTTGCAGCAGATCTCCAAATTGAAGAGCCATACCAGTGCTGCAGCCATTAAAGCCCAGCAGATGCTTGAAGCCAATAGCAAGTACTTCAAGCTGCAACAGCTGAGTGAGGCTTCAAGGTACAAGATTGAAGGCACCCTTTCAAAGGGAAACATCTGTTCCAAGTGCAGATGGAACAGTGGATGCTTGGAGTGTCACCCAGGCAAGGCTTTGAAGTACTATTGGAGCAAAGAGGCACATGCAAAGAGCCTTGTTCCAGGACCAGATCTTCCAAAGAATTGGGAGCACCTTTCAGGACAGGGGGGGGGGGAAGAAGCAAACACTAGCCAGCAAAGCACACACACAATGAAAAAACACATCCAAAAGCATCAAATCTCAATGGAATCTCCAAATTTTTAATAGAAATCTCCATCCAAAAGCCTCCAAAAGCATCAAATCTCAATGGAAATCTCCAAATTTTCAATAGACATCTCCATCCAAAAGCCTCCAAAAGCATCAAATCTCAATGGAAATCT